CGAAAGTATTCAAGCGTGTACAGATAAATACACAATGGTCGGCAAGAAATATAAGAATGAGGGAGAACAGTAGAAGATAAAAAAGAGAATCGAAAATACGCTAAAGGGAAAATTACAAATATAGCCGAAATTCGCTGCTAAATGCACAATTCATGCAGGACTTGAAATGACAGGTTTATCATGTAAAGATGGTTTGAAATGGAATAAATGATGACAAGAATGTTATTGCGAGTAAGATGGCGACCGTGCGAGTGAAATTGGGGCTAACGACCGAGCTAAGGACAGGGCATAGCATGGAGTGAAATAGATGTTGACCGGCGAAGTGATTAATGAGATTGATCATTGTCGAAAAACTAACCAAGTCATTTGTCCGGTGGTCTAATCAGTCAATCAATTAATAAATTCCTTCTATATTGATGATTAGAGCGTCAAATGAATCAGAATGATACGTCTTCAATTAATCATCTTGAAGAGTTGTTGATCTACTTCGGCATTAGTTTATATATATATATATTTATGTATTTTTATTTTTATATTTTTATATATGCATATGTATAGCAATACAATATGTACCTACATATGTATATATAAAAATATATATGTATAAATATATATGTATATAAATTGGAAGTGGCTACATGGCATCGAAATAAGTGAGAATGTAGTCAGAGTAAACAGGGATAGAGGCACTACATGTGGCATTCGAATGGCAAATCGAGGGAGGACGGAGGGGTTAATTTCGAGGACGGTATAAAGGCAATTCGGCGAAATGATAAAAGGGAGTGGAAAAGGAAATGAAGAAGTTGGGAGCAAGAGGAGGCTATAATTGGACGCAATAAGTAGTTCGGCTGGAGCCAGACAAGGGAAAATATGAAGCAATGGAGAAAAAAGGATGTCAGTAAATGTCGAATTTGTTTGAGCGCATATAAGGGAGGAAGGGAGGGATGATAGTTGAAATTGTACTCATCATAAGACGTGTAAAGCAGTGGTAACATAGCGGGAGTGTGGCCCAATGCATGTAAAAATTAAAGATAACAGAAATCCCTTCAAAGGTAGATGGCCATAATAAAAACCAAATAAGAGAATGTGCACGAAAACTAGAGAGATAAAATAAGGAGTGGTCATGAGGAAAAGTGATAAAATAAAAGAAATAAAGAGCTTCACTCATCTGTTGTGTAAAGGGAGTATATATGGTCGATATTCCAGACATGGAGTGGCTGATAATACAACTAAGTAGTGGTAATCCGAGTGTATTGCACTGACAGTGAAAATATGTAAAATAGTTATATTGTAGTATGGGTAAATGATAAAAACAACTAGCTCATAAAACTGCCAACAACGGTGGCAGTGTTGTTGCGTGCCAGAGTGGCAAGGTCAGCTCAGGTCCATGCCTGCAGACGAATGGTCATCGGAGGAACAAATTCTAAGAGAAATCACCTCTCATAAAGAACATATCTAAAGCCTATTAAAAACTAAAGGGTTGAATCTTTTGCGTGCAAGCGTGAGGAAGAGGTAGAGTAAAGATTATCTGGACTCAAGCGCCAAGAAAGATCAATAAGACGAGGGTATTAGTGGAAATGCAATACAATCACGTCACGTGAATATAATGAGAAAGATAGCAAATAGGAGAGGAAAGAAAAGAGAGGTTAGGGCCGAAGACTATTGCATTGCCAAAGCACTCGGGACTGGGAAAGGAGAAGATGAGTTGGTTGGCTAACCAAATATCTGTACTGAGAAAATGAGATTAGCAGATTTAATTCAGATAAGATGAGATAGAAGGCATAGAATGAAGCGTAATTGAAAGGTATCGAGAAAAAGGGGACAAACAGACAGAAAAGGGTAGGAAAAAGCTAGGGGAAAAAAATTCGTGTGCCGCTGGGACCAGCAGAGGTGCGCAGGTCGAGCGATTTCACACAGTAGGCGTCGACGGGATTATATAAGCAAAACATACTAGCGGCCACATTCAGAACACATGATCAGATCGTCGCTGGTTAGGAAGCCGCGACCGACCAGATTGCTCTCACATTTGCTGCAAGCGAAGCACTCCGAGTGCCAGTGTCGGTCCTCGAATGAGATGAATTTGCAGCCACCAAAACCTAAGGAAAATGTGGGCGTAAAAAAGAGATACATGATGAAATAAAAAGATTCAGTCACCGATATACAGAAACATTCTGCATTTATTAGATCAATATGCGGATAAAATTCGAAAGTGGCCAAAAGAACACCTTAACCTACACTAGGAGTGGAAGCGTCCAAGCAAAAACAAGATCGCAAAACTGCCATAAATGAAAAGTGATGAAAGAAGGGCTGTGATATAAAAATAGCGTTTATACTAGCAAGTATCTTAGTAGGCATACAATCCCAGTGACCTGAAGAATGAAAGAAGTTCAGTAGATGAAAGGTTCAATTGCAGATAAATATAAGGCTAGTGTCAGCAACGTTTTGACCACCTTAAATTAAAACCTGTCCAAGCTTTTAGCGTTGAGACGCAGAGTAAATACTTGAAAGACTGAAAATTATTGTAAATCTTTCAAGTCAACTAGATTTATAAAGCTATCTTGTCGTAAGTCTTACTTTATGAGGCAGTGAAAAACTCACCAGTCACATCTGTAAGAGATTCCCTGTAGAGAAAGAGCACCAAAAATGTGAACCAGAAGGAGAAACTAAACGACAAGATGAGAGCCCATGAATCGCTAACAATAAGCCTCATGAGCGAGGCATGGCTCCATGTCTAAAGGAATAAGAATAATCTCAAATATTGGCTAGTAAAGCAATTCTTGATACTGACCACATTCAACATAATGGTGTGTATATAGAATATGGGGGCATGTCTTAAGCTAAGATGCGTGGCTATTGTGGCTGGTGGTCGTCCCAACAGAATGATTAGTAAATATTACCAAAATATATGGATTGAAATAAGCTCATCAGGCCTCAAAATGATGTCACGAATGAGATCTGTTTACTTGGCAAGGATGGAATAAAGTCAATTCAAGCCAACAGAACCAAAATGAGAAAAAAACAACTTAAAATCTGCAGCAAAAATCAGGATGCATTTTTTGTAAATAATCATGATTTCGACATGGGCAGCATTAAAGGCGAAGATTCGAACAGATACAAGCAGTAGAACGAGTAATCTAATCATAATATAGAGGTTATTTGACCTTGTTTTCACAACTTGGTCATATTGGTAGGAAGACTTAGAGGAACGCACCTAGTCTGGAGTCCATTGTCTGCATGATCA